AACGTTTAGACAGTGAAAGGTTGGGACCGAGATGCCAGCCTGGGAGCTCGCTTAAATTCATTTAGACTGGGAACCAGCGAAAGTAGCTCGTCGGAACAATTGCCGAGAAAATACTTGGAGAAGAGATAAAGGGAGGCCAGGCACGTCTGTGGGATGGCGATTGTAGACTAGATGCCAGATCAGGACCTATCATCTTGCATATTCGTCTCTGGATTTTGTCGAGGACCTCGAGACGCACAGCAGGAGTACAGGACCATATGTGGCAGCAATATTGAATGCAAGGATGGATAATTGATTTGAAGGATGGACTCAGACGAGAAAAACTTAAATTGGAATAATATGGTCACCCTTAGTCAAGACAACCCATACCCTAGACTGAGGAATAAAATCATAAATTTTCAGAAATTGCTAATAAGTCGAATTACCTATTCAAAATTTTATTTTTCTATTGTAGAAATATTAAGTCTGTCATTGAATTAGAATAAACATGCGCACACTTAAACGTACATATGCAAATAATTTGAATGAAATTGGAATGGACATCTGTGTGACGAGGACGAGTTTTCTCTTTCTTTCTGGCAACAATCCCTGGGTAACCGGAAAAGATATGCGCAGTTGTTTTTTATGACTACTTTTGCATATAAACTGAATCTTAATCTCTTCCCGTATCTCAAGTTGTGCCCATACATACGATCCATAGCTAAATTTACTCCGAAAATGGTCGTTTCCCTGTACCGCTTCAGTGAGTACACAACTGCTCCTACTATCCTCTACCCGAGTAGGCCGAAAATGGAGTACTGCTGTGGAACCCCATTTGAGAATTGTAGAAAAATATTATAGATTCAAGTACTCTCATTGAAAAATCAATTTTTGTACACGGTCAATAATCTGAAGTTTTGCATTCATATATATTAACCAATCAACGACGTCATAGGAGATGCGCGGTATTCTTTGAAACTGCAGACGATTCAAATTTCTTAGAATAAAATTTTGGAGGCTCACTTCAGAATATAATCAACAATATTTTCACTCCTTAAAATGGATATTTAAAAATTGGGGAAATATTTATTAACCAATAAACTTAAGATCAATAAATCTAATTTTCGGGGCCGATACTTTGTTATATAGACCACAAATTTTACTTCACTAATTAGTCTTTCAGTGAAACGTTGACCAGGGTGTTCTTTCGTTCGTTTGTTATACAAATGTCATATAGAAATAAAGTGTCGCTACTGACACTTGGGTTTGAACACGGATCGCCAGAGAGCAAGCATAGTCGACCTCATCTTGAAATAATTAGCTCACGTGACGGATAAAGGAAAAAATATATGGGAATTCGCGGCGTCTGACTGAGGATTGTTCGAAGACGTTACTATTGCTGTCTCTGTGATTTATAAAGTCTCTCCTACAAACAGGCATTACAAAAACAAACAAAACTGAAATTCTCATACTTAATTAATTACTCACATATTTCTCATATATTCGAGTATATAATATTACAAAAATGCTTAGCAATATTGACACAAAAGAAAAACATGCAGGCTAATTTTGTTTACATGCGCCAATAGAGGCATGTAAACAATAGCTTCACCTGCGTTTTTCATTCGGTCGGCAACTACAATTTAAACACAGAGAGAATATAACATAAATCCGTGTCACATATATCTGCACACATATAGACGCAATTTCTGTTTATTCTATACTAACGCAATTCAATCGGTTGTGCTGTAAAAAAGAGACAGGCTATTTTGTGTGAAGGTGTTCGCAAAGAATCTTTGTAATTCATTTCTTTCAATTTGAAAAAAATACTCAAATGAATAAAAAAATATTGAAATTTGTAGCTCAATGTTTGAAGATTCTCTTAATTCTTCGTTTATACACTGCTACACTGCCACCACATCTGGGCTGCAGCTGCCCAGTCTTCACTTTCTAGTCTTGATAGAGTCCTAAAGCATCTACGCGTCCTTGTGAGCGATGAACTGACTTTCACGTTACAGCCTCTTTCCCACAGACGAAATGTGACTAGCCTGCCGCTACTCTATCGCTCTTCCCATGGATAATGTTAAAATGAGCTACATGCCTTAATTCTCCCAGATCTAACCCTAAGACCCAGTGAAGCGCGTAGATTGAGGCAAACCATTCATATGGTCCCGTGCTCCTGCTATATATCCAGAGATCCTTGATGAAATCCAAAGAAGAATCAGCGTCACGGTTTCAATGACTTTACGGATTTAAGCGCAGTACTAGGTTGACAGTTAGGTCTCAGCAATGTACAGGAGTTGGTTAGATGTAACCGTAAGTTTTATATTAACAGTTTCTTTTCTCGCACTTATCGCTTGTGGAACTCTCTTCTGACTCCATGCTTCCCAGTTGACTTTGATTTGGAAAAGACTTAAATGCAATGTCGATCGCTATCTAATATCCTACCGAATACTCTTCTATTGTTCTCGCTCTTTAGTAATGTTTCTGTTTTCTAATTCTTCCACACACAGTAACTCCTTGTGTCGTACTGGCTGTAACTGCCTTGCTTGGGTTGAACTCGATTAAAAAGTATAGGATTAACCGCTATTTTTCTACATCTATCCGTATAAACTGCCCCTGCCTTGAGTAACCCTATTTCTTGGGTGGCTTTTGGGACTTGTTTTACATTAGTAAAAAACTTAAAAACAAAAATCAAATCTCAATGTTCAAAAATTAGAACATTGAGATTTGAAATTTGCCGGAATCGGGAAATATTCAAATCGAACGATAAAAAATTGTAGACAACGACTTATGCAAATATTTATTTGTTACCGAATAATTCCCGAAAAGACCAATAAAATCTTATAATTATTTGCTATTTCAAATTTTAAAAATGCATATTGAAGGCAAGAGGGCCAAGGGACAACATCGTATAATCTGCCTAAGAAACTTGTGCAAATCAGGGTTGAGGAGAGAGATAGTGGAAAGACAAATTCTACTGTGGGTTAGAAAAGGGGAGGAAATTGTTCAGAGCCATTATCCGTCGTGTCTTCAAGGGACAGGGTACATAGAAGAAGAAGAAGAAGAAGAAGAAGAAGAAGAAGGAAGAGGAGGAGGAAGAGGAGGATGAGGAGGAGAAGAAGATGAAGATGAGAAGAAGAAGAAGAAGGAGGAGGAGAAGGAGGAGAAGAAGAAGATGAAGATGAGAAGAAGGAGGAGGAGGAGAAGAAGATGAAGATGAGAAGAAGAAGAAGGAGGAGGAGGAGGAAGAAGATGAAGATGAAGATGAAGAAGAAGAAGGAAGGAGGAGGAAGAAGAAGATGAAGATGAGAAGAAGAAGGAGGAGGAGGAGGAGGAGAAGAAGATGAAGATGAGAAGAAGAAGAAGAAGAAGGAGGAGGAGGAGGAGGAGGAGAAGATGAAGATGAGAAGAAGGAGGAGGAGGAGAAGAAGATGAAGATGAGAAGAAGAAGAAGGAGGAAGAGGAGGAGTAGAAGAAAAAGATGAAGATGAGAAGAAGAAGAAGAAGAAGAAGAAGAAGAAGAAGAAATAACAACAACAACAAAAACAATAATAGTAATTTTGCTTAAATGATTGACAATCCAGGGATTAGAAGAAATAGCAAAACGACTAATTTTGCTAAGTGCAACAAAGGACAGGAAACTGTGGAGAGCCATGATCTCCACAGTTCTAAAACGGCAAGACACATATAAGAAGATGAAGAAGTAGTTTGCGTAAATGATTGGCAGAAGAGGAATTAGGAGAGATAGTAAAAAGCCAAATTTTGCCAAGAGCTTTAAGGAACAGGAAATTGTGGAGAGCCATGACCGCCATCGCCATGAATTGACACGGTACAAAGAAAAGAAGAAGAAGAAGAAGAAGTTTGATTAAATGATTGACAGTCCAGGGATTAGGAGAAATAAAAAAAAGACTAATTTTGCTAAGAGCAACAAAGGACAGGAAATTGTGGAGAGCCATGATCGCCACCGTCCTGAAGGGACACGCTACATAGAAGAAGAAGAAGAAGAAGAAGAAGAAGAAGAAGAAGAAGAAGAAGAAGTTTGCGTAAATGATTGGCAGAACAGGGATTAGGAGAGATAGTAAAAATTTTGTCAAGAGCTACAAAGGACAGGAAATTGTGGAGAGCCATGATCCCCACCGTTCTAAAGCGGCAAGACACATAGAAGAAAATAAAGAAGCACAGAAGAAGCTCGTGTAAACGATTAACAGAACATTATTTAGAATAGATAGTAAAAAGACAAACTTTGCTAAAAGCTATAAAGCACGGGAAATTGTGGAGAGCCATAATCACCTTTAAAAGTACGTGGCACATAAAAGCAGAAGGTATACTTTTTTTTTTACTCATTCTTAATGCAAACTATTGAAAACACTTTTTGAAACAAAAATACCGTAGATGGCTAAGAGAATAAAAGTTATTTGAATACAATTATAAAGAAGAAATCCTTTTTTGGTTATTAAACAAAAATTCTGCTTCCAAAAAAATATTTGTCTGAGAAAAGAGAAAACGAGAAGAATTGCCGTTTATTGAATTTTCCAAATGACGTTGAGATGGCTATTTATTCTTATCGAGGAGGAAATAAATGATTTGATTCGCCATGACAAGCCCCTCATCTTTGACTGTGGTTTAATTGATAAAACAATCAGTGATGCAACAGCTTTGAATTTTGCACAACGGATCAAAAGTGCGAGATTCGGTGTTGTTCGATCGGTTCGAAATTATTGATATATTTTTTTTTCTTTCACGACGCCCAAACGAAACGCAAGTCGGCAAGGAAACATTTCTACTGGTTTACCAATTCCATCAAAGCAAGACGTTTTGAAAGTACTAACCTCTCTCCTCTTGTTCTTTCAGCCATTCGGAAGCGATTTGCTAAGTTTCGATTCCTTTACTATTAAACCTCCCCTGGGGATCGAACTTACTAATCTTGTAGCGAAGAATTCTACGGAGTGAACAGGGCTGTCATTTCAATTTCGATTGGTGAATTCTACTGACACTAGAGTCTTGCATATTTGTCTCTTATGCCCAGTTTTGGATTTCTAAAACATATATATATATATATATATATATATATATATATATATATATATATATATATATATATATATATGTGTGTGTGTGTGTGTGTGTGTGTGTGTGTGTGTGTGTGAAAATATATAGAAAATAGGAAGGAACTGGTTAGGTAAATAATCCAAAGTCCCTTAGTATTTTTTATTATTTTTTAAAATAGTGCTCGATACAAAAGTAGAGCATAAATATAATTATTTATTTAAAAATATGATTCCAAATCACGACATAAGAGGTCTCATGTTTCAAAACAAGAGCCGAAAACGTCAATATAATTATTTAAATTATTTAAATTAAATTGAGTTAAAATAAGCTCTGTTCCATCTTCAAGCGAAATTTTTTTTGGAATAATGTGTTTCTGAAATTTACGTGTTTTAAAAATTGAAATCAAAATTTCCATGGTAACAGCTAGAGCGAAAAATACGTTATTCCCAAAAAAATTTCGCTTGAAGATGGAACAGAGCTTATTTCAACTCAATTTAATTTAAATAATTTAAATAATTTAAATAATTATATTGAAGTTTTCGGCTCTTGTTTTGAAACATGGGACTTCTTATGTCGCGATTTGGAATCATATTTTTAACTAAATAATTATATATATATATATATATATCTGTGTGTGTGTGTGTTGTATATTATCATACCAGAGAGAAGATATTTTTCTTTAATAGAAAGAGAGAGAGAGAGAGAGATGAAGATATAGAGAGTGAGTATATATAGGAATCAACTCTTCATAGTATCTGTCAGTTTCATGTGTCAATACGATTTCAGATCTATCTATCTATCTATCTATCTATCTATCTATCTATCTATCTATCTATCTCAGTCTGTTTATGTCTACCTATATCTATCGATTTGACCTGATGTGCTGTAACATTCAGCTACAGAGAAGCGTCTGGTTGGAAAAGTTCGAATTACTGTTTATAAACTGCTGTGGCCTTGTTAGGGCCAGAAATAAAGGCATAACGGGAGGAACTGAGTTAAACAAATATATGAACAGAAAAAGTGATACGAACATATACAAACGAGGCTGTTTCAGCAAGAATGTTCTTTACGACAATCAGAGCCGACTGCTGGAAACTTCCCTCTTCAAAAGGCAGTACCTGCTCCTATTTATAGCTGGGAAAGTCCATGCGTGCGTGGGTAAATTACCAATAACATAAACATACAATCATCGACGATTTTTCTCGATCGATCAAATCTATTCCCGATACGTATCTTAATGACGTCATTATATGAATACAGGTTCCGTTCTCGCGGGAAAACGCATAATTTCTACGAAGTTTCTCGAACAATCAGGCCGGTAAATGTAATTAATATTGTTTAATAAAAAGGAATATATTGTTTAATAAAAAGGAATATATTTATATATATATATGTATATATATATATATATATATATATATATATATATATATATATATATATATATATATATACACAAAAGGGAGCATGTTACATAACAATACATCAAATGAATTGGTTGCCTACCGTAACGAGACTGACCACAATTTTGACATGAAAAATGTTACTCTGATCAAAGGAGAAGCAAAACGCTACTACGTAAATGTCTAGAGTGTGCCTTAATCGCAAGGTCATCTTTAGTAAAGTTGCAACCTGGCTCTTTACAACCTTTCCCTATTCCTGGCAGATCTATTATCACAGTGTAGAATACCTACCAACAAGAGTGATAGAATGAAAATAAAAACAAATCAACTAGACATAAAAAAAATTCTAAGAATATTGAGAAGCAAGGAATTGGCTTTAGAATCTGGGTAAAGGCCGAATCTACGAGAGTCGCCATATTAAATATTCATATAGATTTACGAAATTCTCTTTAAATTTTCGGTTATCTCTTAAGTTTCGAAGAAGGAAATTAAATATTAAAAATAAACACTTTGAATCTAATACTTATGATTTCCTTTCCAGACGGAATTTAAATCTTAAATAGTCTCGCACTCCAATATCAATATATATATATATATATATATATATATATATATATATATATATATATATAATTTACAATGTCGGTGCCAGTCCGATGAAGTCCTAAAGGAGGAAACGCGTTACAAGAAAACTTTTTCTACTTTGTCATACATTTTACCCAAATATTGTTCTCGATATATATATATATATATATATATATATATATATATATATCGTTATATACCTTACCGGAAGTAGCATTTCTTTTCACGGAAATTTGTTATTTATTATTTCTAATAGGTCCTTTTCGAAACCGGACAAACTATGAATAAACCAGTGCTGCTTTTTTACTGTTAAAACGGTAAATCGCCTTGTAGTTTTTGTTTTGTAATTCGTTCCGTTTAAGGAAGAAGTAAGCTCTCCATCTCATCCTTCGTATGAGTTTTTTGTATTAATATCACGAAATATTCCTTTTTGTTGGTATTAGGAATGTTCTTCAGAGAAATTCCGAAATTTATTTTCTATATATTTTTTTTCTTGTTAAAAAATTTTTTAGAGTGCTCGACTTTGATTAGGAGCCAATATATGTATATATAAATAAAAAGAAAGAACAGTAAGATATATAATCCGGTGTTCTTATAGATATTTTTAATTTTACAAAATAATGCTCAATGTAAATTTACAGATCATTAATATTATAAATTAATTGGTTTAAAATATGTTTTTTTTTTCGCTATACAGTTCTAACCATGTTTCAAAAATGGAAGCCAAAAGCTTCGAATTTAATTTTGTAATTAAATTAAAATCATTAGTTCCATTTCATCCTCAAGCTAATTTTGGAATACCGTTATATATATATATATATATATATATATATATATATATATATATATATATATATATAACAGCAAAACAACACGCACAGACAGACAGACACATACACACACAGATATATATATATATATATATATATATATATATATACACACCGGTGTAACACTTAAATTTTCTAAGTTGTGTAACAGCATATGTAATTTCCATACCACAAAACGTTCCATATCTAGAAAACGACTAAACTAAATGAATAGAGTATGTATTCTTTGGTTGAGATTGGTTTGGTTTATTTTGTTTTACGGCATATTAACCTCAATGGGTTATTTAATTCCGACAACATTTTAGGATAGATTCGTATGAATAGAATATGCATTCTTTGGTTTAGATTGGTTTGGTTTATTTTGTTTTACGGCATATCAACCTCAATGGGTTATTTAATGATATTTTTTTTTTTTTTTTTGGTAATATTTTGTTTTGTCAAAAATATGTTTCTGGTAATATTTTTCTTTCAAAATTGTATTGCTGGCAATAATTTTTTTCAAAAAGGTTTTGCTGGTAATAGTTAACTATTTGCCCATAGCTGGGACCCTAACAGGTGCTACCACCCTGGGCCAGGGAGGACCTGGGAACACCAGCAATTAAGAGGTGGTTCCACACGCCTCAAAATCTTCTGATCGGAGGCCTTGCTGCTGGATGTAGTTTATCGTCTTACCCAGGACGAGACTCTTGTTAGGAAGAGTTCATTCTACTGTAGGAGGGTTTACAGTTTCAAAGATTATTAGCTCAAATGAAACAGGAAGAACCACAATTCATTGGTTATCAACATCATGTTCTTGAGCGAGTGCTTAACGTAGTAACGGATGACGAACTTAGAGGAAACAACACATCACTCGTTATATTGAATACCCCTTAATACGGGAACTTGTAATTAACTCTGGACAGCTCAAGGAGAATTTCAAGAATCATAAGGAACAAAAAAAAATGAATGACAAAGAGTATTTCTATCTATAAAAGGCAGGATGTATATGTGTGTGTGTGTGTGTGTGTGTGTCTAACGAATGCACGGCCGCAATTTTCCACGGTTTTACACCAAAATTTACATGTACATGCTCCAAATTAGCGGGAAGGCCAAGACCGACTTTGCATTCCCAACTCCCATCGATAGTGGAAATAATCGATTTTTTCATGCTTCTACGGCAGTTTTCATGTAGTTTGCGGTCATTTTCTACTGGCCAGAGTGAGAGCCAATAGCTGGCTGCCACGAATAGGCAGGAAGATTCTATTGGCCAGCGTGTGAGCCAACAGCAGACTGACACGAATGTTAACTAGCATGCTAGCATGCAAAAAAATCGATAGCTGCATTCGTCACAAGTGGGAAAAATTTAAATCTGCATGGCACTTTACTCCAATTTACTCATTCGCTTGCTTAAATTCAACGTTGATTCTGATTCCGCAGAACTGGGTTGGGTGTGAAAAAGTATTTGTTGTTAACATTCTTTTTTCATTCGGTTTTTCCAGTTACGAGTCCTTTTTTAAAGCTGATCGTTTTGTGATCATTTTGTTTAACTCTTTTTCGTAACAGTTTTAATGTTTAGTATAGAGCTTAGAAAAAAATCGCAGTGTGAGATAGGCAAGAAGTAAGGCATGTAGCAACATCAGCACGGCAAAGGGCACACCTTTAAAGGCAAGGAAGGGCAAAGATATTTTAAGTCAAGTGATAACGATTGCTGTATGAGTCGTACGATTTTTGAATCAAGCACAACACCGGGCCATGCTGCTAGTTTGAATATAAAATAGACCTTAAAATTAAACAACTTATTCATTGCATTTATAGATTTTATAATTTTTTTATAACATTTTTTATGTCTAGTCAAATTAACTTACAGACTTTTTTTTAAAAAATCAAATCGCTTTTAAGATGTCGCAGATTCATTGGTGAAAAATGTTAAATTGAAAAACAAAATCTAAAATATTACTATGTACTATTTCAAGGCAATTGGACGTAGAGTATTGATTAGCAAGCGTCTACTGAGAAGTGGGTTCGATTCTCACTGAGTGCTCCGTATTTGCTGTCTTCTGCAATATTTAATCTTTCTTTATACATAATCTTTAGTCGGAATATCTGGATTGGTGTATCAGTAGTACAGTGCCAATCTAGTCTCCACAAAACGGCATACAGTTGATATTTGGC